AAAAACAAAAAGGGGGGGGGACCGCGGGAGGGATAGGTCCTAGGGAGGAATGAAAGGGCCAGGAAATCTCCCTCCGCGCCCAAGAGGACCTCAGCACCGCAAAGTAGCGCAGATGCAGCAATGGACCAGTGCCATACCCTACCCATCCTTTGCTAGTTAACTAACAATCCGGAGATAGCAACCTCACATCTGCCGAGCTACCTCGGTGGACAAAAGAGAGCGGCGGCCGGATATCTGCACACAAAGCATACCTCTGGCCACACCCCCGGAATCCGAAAGGTGGCTTCCAGAGATACACTCGTCGCCGAAAGCACCCAGCTACTCGGGTATTACCGGTGAGGATCGGAATCCCCAGGCAATCCAGATTCCACGGCAAACTACGCCACCGCTAAGAACCTAACGGGAATGGGATGGACCCCGGTTCCTTTTCTCCTACCTAGGAACTAGCGTGCCCTGAGGGAGATCTCAAAGGACAAAGAGGAAGGGCAAATGGGAGGGAGTGGGGAGGAGGAGGAGGAAAGGAAAAGGGGGAAAAAAAAAAAAGGGCGAGGATGGGGAGGATGTGTAGGGGAGGGGAGATTGAGGGGGTAATTAGGTTCGGTCTGAGGAAGAAGACCGATAGTCTAATTCTCGACCCAAGATGCCTTTCATCCACGCCAAGGAGCCCCCCTTTGAAGAGGACAGGAAAATATGTTGATGTTGCTGATGTATTGGTTTATTTTAATGACTTGCAGAATGTACCCATATACATTAATTTTTGAAGTTCATTTTTAAAATATGCCGCTTAGAGATAAACATTTTAATCCAGTGGTCACAAGTGTTCGTCTGTGGATGTGACATTTGTGAGGGGTCTTAAATATATGTCCCCTGCCATCTACATCATTGCCTTACAAATAAAAACATTTATAGATGCAGTGTTGATTTTTCAATTACATATTCTTATTACACAGTCAAAATATTACTGTGTCCATCATTTAGGACTGGTGAGTTCTGTTTACTCAGACAGTATTAATTGAAGCTGTTAAAACTTGGAGAGAGAAAAGATGTGCTCAACACTCCAAGCTGATTGTAGCAATATGGCACAGGAGTCCATAAACAAATGTGAGGTGTAACTAAATTTGTCACTTCTTGTTCAGTATACAACCAAAATAGAATAGCATGTATTCTAGAATATTTATGTATATTATACTGGTAGGTATGAACAGTGAAGATATGTTTTCTGGAGGCACATTACTGACTTGAGGCAAAAATTATTGCTACAGCAAGATTAATTTTTTTTTTTTTTTTTTTTTTTTTTTTTTGCATTCATTTTTTCATGCATTATTAAACACTACCACCTCTCACCAAGGCAGGAGCAACCACCTTTGGTAAGAGCAGACATCATGGTTAAAACAACCCTCTGAATTCGCAGCAATGGTTTCAAGTTGGAAAAATTCAGATTCAGAAAGGATATAGGAAAGCACTGGTTTGGTAATAAAGTTGTGGATGAGTGGAACAAACTCCCGAGTACAGTTATTCAGGCTAAAACGTTGTGTAGTTTTAAAAATAGGTTAGATAAATACATGAGTGGGTGTGGGTGGGTATGAGTTGGACCTGACTAGCTTGTGCTGCTGGGTCTGGTGCAGTGCTCCATCCTTGAGTGGAGATGATCAGACTGGGTGGGTCATTGGTCTAATCCGGGGGGGGGACATGGACCTGCTCTGCATGGGTCAGTAGGCCTGTTGCAGTGTTCCTTCTTTCTTATGTTCTTAACTATAACATCCTCACTTTCTTCAGAGTGCAGCCACTGCACTTCCTATATCCAACACACAAGTCTGGCTAATTGGTTTTCTGAATCCCTTCATGTTACCTTGCTTACACTCCAAAGCATTTAAGTCATAGAAACCACTTGTCTCCACAGTATTAAACACTTGTACAAGCTGGATGCTCAAGCCCCTAAGTCTCTATCTAACCCTTTTGTCCCAGATTTATATACTCTTGGTCATCTTATTATACTCTATTCTCTCTAGATGCTCAAATCACCTTAATGGCCCTTTTTCAACCCTTGAAATTATAATTTTTGTTCTGAATTCTTTGCATAATATACACACCACACATTGCTCTTGAATATGACATCTCCACTGTCTGTATTCTCCTTAATGTAACATTTTAAATACATCCCTCACACTCTTATACAATTGTTTGTACTACTGTACTCTAGTGGATTTCCCTTTTTGTCTCCATTGAATAATGTCTCTTTCCGCAGATGCCTCAAGACACCACCTACGGTTTCACCCCCCTTCCCCTTTCTCATCTTTCATAGACGTATCTACTGACATCCACTCTCATATATCTGATTACATTCACTTCTTCCCTACTCCTTCCAATTTGATATCCAGTCTTTCAGTGACTGTTTTTTGTTACTCTCATTACTTTGCTCTTTTCCATATTCACATTTAATTTCCTTTGCATGGCCTCCTAAAAGAACTGTCATCAGCAAAGAGCAACTGTGATACCACACTTTGTATCAGTGTGACCATCTTTCAGTCTCACAACTCTGTATCCTAACACCTAAGATTCACTTACTTAAAAACTTTATCTGTAAATATTAAATGACTATGGAGGCATCACACATCCTGTCTAAGGCCTACTTTCAATGGAGAATAGTTCCTTTCCTATATACTATAATCTGAGCCTCACTTTCTGAATATATTTGCAACATCTTCCACATTGCTTTCCAGTTCACCCTATCATGCCTATTCTTAATTGCAACAAATGGTCCTTAAACTTATCTATGTATGTTCATCTGTATGCTTCAGTGTAAATAATTGGTATACACATTCCCTACTCCCTAAATCTTCTGTCCCTTTACAAATCTGCTTTATCTTACCCTTAATTCTTTTTGCTAATACAGGTAATTCAGCAGTACTATTCACTTACCCAGTGCAATGTATTCAGCAGGCTTATTTGACATTAAATCACTACGCACACTAGTCGGTCTTTCCTTAGACAAAGGATATTAAATCAAATAAAGTGCTAAACCGACAAGGGTCATACAGCGCTGTGGGACAGAAAATAGTGCCGGGCTATAAAACAGCTAAGTGGAGAGGGATCAGAGGTGAGAGGAGAAAAGGGCTGGAAGGGACGCTAAGGGCTGTGTGGCAAAGTTTGTATAGTAAAGCAGTTGCTGACAAAGTCAAAAAGTGATCATAAGTCAAAGGCAGGGCTGTCTGCAAGAAGGGAAAGTAAGGTAAGAGTGGTAGGGTTGTGGCGTTGGTGGAGGTAAATCCTGCGAGCTCGCTGGTAAACTAGACAATCCACAAGAACGTGACGAACTGAAATAGGGACCCGACAAACCTAACAGAGAGGAATAAGGTGTCGTTCCATGAGATACCTATGGGTAAGGCGAGTATAGTCAATGTGAAGATGGGAGAGCACAGTCTCCCGAGTACGGCAACGGTGGTAAGATGGCCACAAAACCTAAAAGCAGTTTAATAGCATGAAATTGTTATGGTGCGTGTCTGACCACCATTTTTTGCCAAGGGCTCTGAAGATGCAGAGATGACTGCAAAATAATCCTGAACAGAATACCTCTATAGGAAAACGGGAAAGATCACGTACCACTGACTGTACAGCAACATCCGCCTGTTCATTGCCCTGCACATCAAGTGTCCAGGACCCCAACAGAAAACAATGTCTTTTTGCTAGCTACACAGCGAAACCCATAGTTGAATATGAAGGACAAATGGATTAGGGGAATCAAATTGTTTAATGGCTTATAAAGCACCGAGGGAATCTAAAATGATCACAAACATCGAAGGGAATGGTATTGTAATACGGAGAAGCGCTATGAGGATGACATACAACTCGGGCAGTAAAAAATACTAACCCAGTCTAACGAGTGACTTTAGACACATTGTCAGGGAACACTGCTGCGAACCCAACACCATCATTGATTTAGAACCATCTGTATAAAGAGCGACGGCACGGCATGCGACCGGAAGTATCAAGAAAAGAGAGCGAGAAGCAGCTGTAGGTTTTAAGAGGGGGAGGAAAGGGAAAAGGGTGGATGGGGAGGATGGGATAGGAAGGGGAGATTGGGGGGTAATTAGGTTTGGTCTGAGGAAGGAGACCAAAAGGTCTAGTTCCTCAACATGCCAAGGAGCCTCCCATGAGAGGCTTATACAAAGGAACTCTGCTCATCCTTAGGTACCTTTCCTTCTTTCATGTATATTTTGAACAAATACACCAAGCACTCCAAAACTATATCCCCACCTGCTTTTACATTATTTTTATTATTATTATTTTTGCTATTGTTCGTGGGAAGTGCTAAACCTATAGGGGTTATACAATGCCAGGAGAATGGGATTATTATTATAATCAAAAAGAGGAGAATGGGAATTAACAGGTTTGATCTAAGGAAGGGAAAGATAGCTTCAATTCCTTAGATGAAGAGATCTTGAGCATTGAACAGTTGCTTGCTTAGTGCTTGTCAGTTTCATTGTTAATGATAAAATTATGACTTGTTACTGTTGCATAGTTTGCCAAATAGTGTAAGTGTCACACTTATGGTCGTTACAACATCAGCAGTTTACTCAATTTTTAGATGCAAGAGTCGAGGCTGTATAGCAATTTTATAATAGTAATGGAATACAGTAGTACAGTAGCCCAGAAACATTTCAGTGCAGCTCATGGTGATCAAACAAGGCCTGGTATTTCAAATTAATGATATAAACTGGCTTCAGTGTTCAGTAAAAAATGTATAAAGCCTGAAATTAGATAGTATATAGATACAAAAAGGGGTTACCATTGCTTCGGGCATTTAGTCGACTTTAAAAATTTTGCATGGCTTATGGAGGAAAGAGTCTTATTCCACTTCCCCTTGGATATGAGAGGAAAAATAATGATAAGAATTGTTAAGAAAAATCAAAGAAAACTTGGATGAGTGTGTATACATGCATGTGTAGTGTGACCTAAGTGTAAGTAAGAGTAGCAAGATATACCTGTTATCTTGTGTGTTTATGAGACAGAAAGACACCAGCACTCCTACTATCACGTAGGATGGTAGGAGTGCTATTGTCATTTGGCAGGACGGTAGTACCTCCCTGGGTGGTTGCTGTCTACCAACTTACTACTCTATACAATATAAAGGGAAAGGGGATAGAAGAGAATGTAAAAATTATAGGGGAATAAGTTTACTGAGGATACCATGTAAAGTATATGGTAGGGTTATTATTGAAAAAATTAGAGGCGAGATAGAGAGCAGGATCCCAGATGAACAAGGTCTTCGAATGGGTAAGGGATGTGTAGACCAAGTGTTTACACTGAAGCATATAAGTGAACAATATTTAGACAAAGGTAGGGAAGTTTTTGTTGCATTTATCAATTTAGAAAAAGCACATGATAAGGTAGATAGGGGAGCAGTGTGGCAGATGTTGCAAGTGTATGGAATAGGTAGTAACTAAATGCTGTAAAGAGTTTTTATGAGGATAATGAGGCTAAGGTTTGTGTGCATGTAGGAGAGAAAGAGATTACTTTTCAGTAAAATTAGGCCTTAGACAGGGATGTGTAATGCCACCATTGTTGTTTAAGATATTTATAGATCGGGTTGTAAAAAGAGTAAATGCTAGGGTGTTGGGGAGAGGGGTGGGATTAAGTTTTCGGCAATCAAATACAAAATAAGAGTTGATACAGTTACTTTTTGCTGATGATACTGTGCTTTGGGAGATTGTAAAGAGAAGTTGCAAAGGTTGGTGGACAAGTTTGGGAGGGTGTGTAAAGGAACAAAGTTGAAAGTGAACATAGATAAAAGTAAGGTGATGAGGGTATCAAACAATGGGATATCACATTGGAGGGAGTGTAGAAAACGTGAATGTGCTCATATATTTAGAAGTAGATGTGTCAGTGGATGGGTTTATGAAGGACAAGGTAAACCACAGAACTGATGAAGGAAAAAGGGTGGATAATGCATTGAGGTATCTGTGGAGACAACATTATCATGGAGGCAAAGAAGGGGATGTATGAGTATCAAGCATGGGTTGCAAATGCTGCAGCAAGGAGGAGGCTGAAGGCAGTAGAGATGTTGTGTATAAGGGTAATGTGTGGTGTATATATTACTCATGAAAATTTGTAGTGTGGAAATTAGGTGTGGAGCTACTAAAAGTATTATTCAGAGGGCTGAGGAGAGGTAGTTGAGGTGGTTTGCTCATATAGAGAGATGGAGCAAAAAAGGATGATTTGGAGGGTGTATGAATCTGTAGTGGTGGGAAGGAGGGGCAGGGGTCATCCTAGAAAAGGATGGAGAGAGGGGGTGAAAGAAGTTTTGTGTGCAAGGGACTTGGACATACAGCAGGCATGTGTGAGCACATTAGATAGTGAATAAAATGAATGGTTTTTGGGATGTGATGAGCTGTTGGAGTGTGAGCAGGGTAATATTTTGTGAAGGGATTCAAGGAAACTGGTTAGCTGGATTCGAGTCCTGGAGGTGAGACTTGCACTTTAACGGAGAGGTTTGGGATATTGGTTGTTTGGGGTGACATTTGAACTGTTGTATCTGGGCACCTCTGCAAAGACAGAGATTGTGTGAATGATGGTAAAAGTGTTTTTGCGTTTTGGGTCTCCCTGCCTCAGTGGGAGATGGCTGATGTGTGGAAAAAGTAGAAATACAAAACACAATTACCATACATTGAAGTAATATACTGTATACAATAGTCAGGAATAAAGACTTGGTATAAGTTAAGGCTAGGAATTCTATTTGTACAATAATTGACTTAGTAGTACAATGCTTGCACTCTGAAGAAGGGGTGGGGATAGTGCAGTTTGAAGGAGCATCTGAGCTGTAATAAGATTTTAATACAATTGTTTGAAATTAATCAACTTCTTTTATGCTACTTAAAAGTTTAGTTGTTGTCTTGCTAACTTATTTTTTTTTTCTAGAATGAAGCCTCACTGATGCATCTTTCTCTAAATATTGATTTACTTACATTCTTCTTCTATGATCTTATACTGTATTTACTTGCAGCATTTGATTTGTCACTGAGTGAAGGGCTGCAATTTGAAAGACTATTATTCTATGCAACTTTTGCTACAGTAAGTATAAACATTCCGTGAATTTCAAACATTTTATTATATATGTGGTATTGCATACCATCAGGTATGTTAATAAGACACAATATGCAGTTTATGGCATTTTATTGACAGGACGTTTCATCCACCAGGGACTACAGCAATTCAGGAGAACTGATAAAACAAACTGACAGTAATCAGTAGTCAAAATGTTGTCTTGATAAAAATGCCATAAACCACACATTGTCTTATTAATAAATACAACCTCTCCTCACTTAACGATGGAGTTTTGGTCCTGAGACCATGTCGGTAAATGAATTCGTCACTAAGCGAGAAGTATACTTTATAATGGTAGTGGGTTTGTGTCAACCATCTTTTATGTTGTTTTAATGTCACCTTTGCACCATTTATAGCATTTCTGGTATATTTTTAGATGTTTATACAGTAGTGTACTGTTTATTGTAATAAACAGAATAGAGGAAATCAGCTCTAACATACAATATTTAGGTATACATACTGGTCAAAGAGCCCATCATAAGTCCGAATTGTCAGTAAACGAGTGTCGCTAAGTGAGGAGAGTCTGTATTATGTTATTTAACCCTTTCAGGGTCTGTGCCGTAGGCTTGACGTTCAGGGTCCAAACCGTAGATTACGCCATGAGCTCGGCTCACTCTGATAAGCTGCAAGCGGTAAATTTGGGCCTAGATATGAGAGAATACATCTATGTGGTATGTGTGCACCACATAAAACAAATCCTGCAGCACAGTGTATAATGAGAGAAAAAAAACCAAGGCCGTAATTTTCGATTAAAACAGCGACTTTGCGGTATTTTTTCGTATGTTTTTTATAGTTATATTTGCGATTTCTTGGTTTCATTTGATAGAATAGAAGATATGTTACAGAAATAGAGATGATTTTGATTGGTTTTAGCACGGAAAATGGCTTGAAACTGAGCTCAAAGTAGTGGAAATGTTAAGTTTTTGCCCATGTTCAAGAGTAAACAAATGACCTCACATGTCTAATACACGCCAGCTGGTGGGTCTAATATATGTTCACAAATGTGGTGATATTATTTATACAATTATTACAATATTGCATAACAGTAAATCTTCTATTTTTTGGTTTGAATAAAAATTCATTATGTGAATTAAAAATCAAAATGGAATTAATTTGTAAAGCCTGAAAACATAACTAATGAACAGAGGAAATGTTAGTTTAGTGCCAGGAATGCCTGCATTGTTTATTCTGGACCCTATTTTGAAATTGGAATATTTTGAACTTTGCACTAAATTGGCCAAATTACCAATTTCCGATCACTTTATTTTGTAGCTGAAACAGTTGACTCGGCAATTTCTTGTGCTCAATCGATAGAATAGAAGTAATACTAGTGAAATAGCTAAGAATTTGGTCGACTGGAATAATGTAATTGGCCTAAAATGGGAGTCAAAGTTGGCAAAATCGCCTATGCGCAAATATCACTGACACATCAAAATTCGTGAGAGCACAATTTCGTCAGTTTTCCATCAAATTTCGTACTTTTTGTTTTATTACCTTCAGAAAAAGATTCTCTACCATTTCATAAGAAAAAATAAAATTATTTTTTGAAAATTCTTGGATCCTGGTGCACACTTTAAAATTTGGCCTCTGGACCCTGAAAGGGTTAAATTATGCTATTTATGTGCATAGTTGTTTGTCTTTATGACTAATTAAAATGAACAGAAATGTTATGAAATAGTGTACAGTGGACACTCGGTTATCGCCTGGTTTTTGGGCTGAAATTTTATTCCGGTTATCTGCTGTTATTTCGCTTATCGGCCGTATTGGACGTGTTCGTCCACCCACCAGCCAGCCAGCCAGCCAGCCAGCCAGCCAGCCAGCCAGCCACTTGCACGTTCGTGAGTCAGTCTGGTTGTGTCTTTGGGCGAGTGTGAAAACTTCTGCTCATTCATCCAAACATTTCGGTATAATCCATTGTTTTTTGTGGTTATTTGAGTGCAGCTGCGAAATAAGCAACCATGGGCCCCCAGAAAAGTTCCTAGTAAAGTTCCCTTGGTCAAGAAAGTGAGAAACATGATGGAATTTAAGAAAGTTGTTGAAAAGTATGAGAATGGTGTTCAAATGCTAGAACTTGCCAGAATGTATGGGAAATCCAAATCAACAATCACTTCCATCCTGGCAAAGATAGTAGAAATCAATGAAGCTGTTGCAAAAGGGAGTTTAGCAGGCAGGCAGGGAGTGTAGTGGGGAGGCAGGATGTGTAGCATGCAGGGAGGGAGTGAACTAACCCCAGAGGGCTTTGATACCTGAAGTCCTTATAGAGGGGGATTCCCCTTCCAAACAATAATCAGGCCTCCCTCCCTCTCTTCCATAAGCCAAGAAGAGTTTTCAATAAAGGCATGTAATAGTGATTTAAATGTTCATTTATTTATTTTATTTAATTCTCATTGTTCTGAGTATGTAAAACTATAATTAATCTTTAAAAAATATATTTTTTGTTAATATTTTTGGGTGTCTGGAACAGATTAATTGTAGTATTTACATTAATTCTCATGGGAAATGTTATTTCGGTTTTAGGCCGACCTGGAACGGATTACAGCAGATAACCGAGGATTCACTGTACTATAATATGGAATGAATTTGTACAGGAGGGTCCTGGTTTTCATGTCCTCCTTTTTTGATGTCCCACTATTGCGGCAATTTTCAGTTGATCCATTGTTAATTATGATTGGCACATTTTCTGCTTTTCTCCCTGATGCGTGCAACACTTGCATAAGGGAGGGGCATCCAATATCCACATTTTACAGCAAGTATTGCGGGTACTGTGCATTCATTTTAATTTTGTATTTTTTTTTTTTACGGCATAGTTGTGTTCATAGTGGGGTGCCAGGGGTAAATGTAAATGGGGAGCCTTTCATTGAGCTATGTGTAGAAAGAGATTTGGTAATAAGTAATACATACTTTATGAAAAAGAGGATAAATAAATATACAAGGTATGATGTAGCACGTAATGAAAGTAGTTTATTAGATTATGTATTGGTGGATAAAAGGTTGATGGGTAGGCTCCAGGATGTACATGTTTATAGAGGGGCAACTGATATATCAGATCATTATTTAGTTGTAGCTACAGTTAGAGTAAGAGGTAGATGGGAAAAAGAGGAAGGTGGCAACAACAAGTAAGAGGGAGGTGAAAGTGTATAAACTAAGGGTATCCTCAGATAAAGGACATTGTGCTGTGGCTTACATCTATATATGTCAGATATGAGGATTCGGGTGAGATATAAGTGACTATTGGCAGAAAGGTGGGCTAGTGCAAAGATGAGTAGTGGGGGGGTTGAAGAGGGTTGGAATAGTTTTAAAAATGCAGTATTAGAATGTGGGGCAGAAGTTTGTGGTTATAGGAGGATGGGGGCAGGAGGAAAGAGGAGTGATTGGTGGAATGATGAAGTAAAGGGTGTGATAAAAGAGAAAAAGGTAGCTTATGAGAGGTTTTTACAAAGCAGAAGTGTTATAAGGAGCAGAGTATATGGAAAGTAAAGGAAAGGTAAAGAGAGTGGTGAGAGAGTGCAAAAGGAGAGCAGATGATAGAGTGGGAGAGGCACTGTCAAGAAATTTTAATGAAAAGAAGAAAAAATTTTGGAGTGAGTTAAACAAGTTAAGAAAGCCTAGGGAAAGTATGGATTTGTCAGTTAAAAACAGAGTAGGGGAGTTAGTAGATGGGGAGATGGAGGTATTAGGTAGATGGCGAGAATATTTTGAGGAACTTTTAAATGTTAAGGAAGAAAGAGGGCAGTAATTTCATGCACTGGTCAGGGAGGTATACCATCTTTTAGGAGTGAAGAAGAGCAGAATGTAAGTGTGGGGGAGGTACGCGAGGCATTACGTAGAATGAAAGGGGGGTAAAGCAGCTGGAACTGATGGGATCATGACAGAAATGTTAAAAGCAGGGGGGGATATAGTGTTGGAGTGGTTGGTACTTTTGTTTAATAAATGTATGAAAGAGGGGAAGGTACCTAGGGATTGGCGGAGAGCATGTATAGTCCCTTTATATAAAGGGAAAGGGGACAAAAGAGACTGTAAAAATTATAGAGGAATAAGTTTACTGAGTATACCAGGAAAAGTGTACGGTAGGGTTATAATTGAAAGAATTAGAGGTAAGACAGAATGTATTATTATTATAATCAAGGGGGAAGTGCTAAACCCGGAGGATTATACAGCAAGACAGAATGTAGGATTGCGGATGAGCAAGGAGGTTTCAGAGTGGGTAGGGGATGTGTAGATCAAGTGTTTACATTGAAGCATATATGTGAACAGTATTTAGATAAAGGTAGGGAAGTTTTTATTGCATTTATGGATATAGAAAAGGCATATGATAGAGTGGATAGAGGAGCAATGTGGCAGATGTTGCAAGTATATGGAATAGGTGGTAAGTTATTAACCCTTTGAGGGTCGACAGGCCCTCTCCGAGACTCGTTCTCAGGGTCGGCCAAATTTAAAAAAAAAAAAAAATAATTTTCTCTTGTGAAAAGATATAGAATCTTTTCCCGATCATAATGACACCAAAAGTTTGAAATTTTATGGAAAACTTACGGAATTATGCTCTCGCGAAGTTAGCGGTCTCAGCGATGTTTACGCATCGGCGATTTTGCCCACTTTGAGCCCCATTTTCAGCCAATTCCACTGTATTAGTCGACAAAGAACATGAATATTTCGCTTGAACTAAATTTTTTCTATCGAATGGGTGCAAGAAACCACCCATTTATCAATTTCAACTATCCAGTACAGTGGTCAGAATTTAGCAATTTTGCCAATTTCACACAAATTTCAAAAGATGCCAATTTCCGAATAGGGTTCAGAATAAACAAGAAAGACATTCCTGGCACTAAAATGACATTTCCTCTGGTCATTAGTCACTTCTCAAGGCCTCTCTTATATTCTTTTGCTTTCCACTTTGAATTTTTATTCTTACAAAAATAGAAGATTTACTGTTATGCAGACTACTGCATTAGTGTAAAAAATGGTATAAATAATATTGGCGCACTTGTGAAAGAATATTAGACTCACCAGTTGACGTGTATTGGACGCTTGGCATGATTTGTTAACTGTTGAAATTTGGTAAAAATCGAACATTTCTGCTACTTTGGGCTCAATTTCAAGGTACTTTTCATTGTGAAACCAGTCAAAATCATCTCAATTTCTGTAATATGTCTTCCATTCTATAAAATGAGACCAAGAAAACTAGAATACAACAATAAATACCACACGAAAATACACTGCAAAGTCGCTGTTTTATTAAAAAAAAAAAAAAAAAAAAAAACGGTCGAAGTTTTTTTTCTCATTATGCACTGTGTGCTGCAGGATTTTTTTTAGACTGTGCACACTGACCACATAGACCCATTCTTTCATATGAAGGCCTACCAGCTTTCTCCCACTAGATCTGAGGGCGCTAGAATTTAGGCGTACTAGTACGTCAAAAACCCTGAATCGTAAGCCGTACTAGTATGGCCGAAACCCTCAAAGGGTTAAATGCTGTAAAGAGTTTTTATGAGGATAGTGAGGCTCAGGTTAGGGTGTGTAGAAGAGAGGGAGACTACTTCCCGGTAAAAGTAGGTCTTAGACAGGGATGTGTAATGTCACCATTGTTGTTTAATATATTTATAGATGGGGTTGTAAAGGAAGTAAATGCTAGGGTGTTCGGGAGAGGGGTGGGATTAAATTTTGGGGAATCAAATTCAAAATGGTTAGTTAGTTTAATATGTTTATTATGCACTCCATACCCATCCTGTGGGCGGTAGTCAAAAGATTACAGAGGTACATAATTGGTCCAGGGACTAGACTCCAAAGTTTTGATAGCTGACACAGTTACTTTTTGCTGATGATACTGTGCTTATGGGAGATTCTAAAGAAAAATTGCAAAGGTTAGTGGATGAGTTTGAGAATGTGTGTAAAGGTGAAAGTGAACATAGAAAAGAGTAAGGTGATGAGGGTATCAAATGATTTAGATAAAGAAAAATTGGATATCAAATTGGGGAGGAGGAGTATGGAAGAAGTGAATGTTTTCAGATACAGTGGTCCCCCGCTTTTCGTAGTTCCCGGCAATCGTAAAATTCGCCAATCATAGAGGTATTTTTGTATAAACATGGACTCACTTTTCATAGGTTGACTCATGAGTCGTAGTTCGTCCGGGACGCGTACCCACGGCGTGAGCCAGGGCGGCAGCCAGTCTGGCATTGTTTACCAGTGAGCGAAGGTCCCCTCACGTGCTCCAGCGAAATATTTCATAATATTCCATTTATTTTAGTGCTTGCAAGTATTAAATAAGCTACTATGGCTCCAAAGAAAGCTCTTAGTGCCAAGCCTGTGGTAAAGAAGGTGAGAAATACGATTGAATTTAAGAAAACCATCATTGAACAATATGAAAGTGGTTCAAGTGTGGCCGAACTGTCCAGGATGTATAAGAAACCCTACACAACCTTATGTTCCATAGTCGCCAAGAAAAATTAAATAAAGGATGCTGTTGTTGCAAAGGAAGTAACTATGCTGACAAAAATGAGATCACCAGTACTGGAAGAGGTTGAGAAGTTATTATTGGTGTGGATAAATGAGAAACAATTAGCAGGAGATACTCTTATGACTTCGTTTATTTGTGAAAAGGCTAGGCAGTTGCATGAAGATTTGGTAAAGAAATAGCCTGCAAATAGTGGTGATGTGAGTGAATTTAAGGCCAGCAAAGGCTGGTTTGAGAGATATAAGAACTGTACTGGCATACACAGTGTGGTAAGGCATGGTGAGGCTGCCAGTTCGGACCACAAGGCGGCTGAAAAATATGTGCATGAATTCCAGGAGAACATAGAGGTTGAAGGACTGAAACCTGAACAAGTGTTCAATTGTGACGAAACAGGCCTCTTTTGGAAAAAAATGCCAAAGAGGACCTTCATTACACAAGAGGAAAAGGCAATGCCAGGACACAAGCCTATGAAAGACAGGCTGACGCTAATGTTCTGTGCTAATGCTAGTGGGGATTTCAAAGTGAAGCCATTACTAGTGTACCATTCTGAAAAATCACAGTGTGTTCAGGAAAAACAATGTTATGAAGAGTAAATTGTGTGTGTTTTGGAAATCTAATAGTAAGGCATGGGTCACGAGGGAAATTTTCGTCGAGTGGTTCAATGAAGTGTTTGGCCCTAGTGTGAAGGAGTATCTCCTGGAAAAGAAATTGGATCTCAAGTGCCTGCTAGTAATGGACAATGCACCTGCTCATCCTCCAAACTTGGATGACCTAATTTTCGAGGAGTTTGGGTTCATCACAGTAAAGTTCTTGCCCCCGAATACCACTCCTCTCCTCCTACCCATGGACCAGCAGGTTATTGCAAACTTTAAAAAATTTATTTATTTATTTATTATCACTCTGGCCGATTCCCACCAAGGCAGGGTGGCCCGAAAAAGAAAAACTTTCACCCTCATTCACTCCATCACTGTCTTGCCAGAAGGGTGCTTTACACTACAGTTTTTAAACTGCAACATTAACACCCCTCCTTCAGAGTGCAGGCACTGTACTTCCCATCTCCAGGACTCAAGTCCGGCCTGCCAGTTTCCCTGAACCCCTTCATAAATGTTACTTTGCTCACACTCCAACAGCACGTCAAGTATTAAAAACCATTCGTCTCCATTCACTCCTATCAAACACTACACAAAAGCAATGTTTCACAGGTGCTTGACTGTGACCACAGATACTCACTTGACCCTAAGGGAATTTTGGAGAGAACACCTAAGCATCCTCCACTGCATAACCCTTATAGGTATGGCTTGGGAGGGAGTGACACCAGGACTTTGAACTCTGCCTGGAGAAAATTGTGGCCAGATTGTGTCGACAAGAGGGATTTTGAAGAATTTGGGACTGACCCTAATGAGCCTATGTCTGTTGTAAAATCAATTGTGGCACTGGGGAGTTCCATGGGGTTGGATGTGAGTTTGGGGGATGTGGAAGGATGTGGAAGACCACAATGAAGAGCTCACCACTGAGGAGCTGCAAGAGCTTCAGCAGGAAGAGCAACACATCGCAGCTCAGAATCTTGCTGCAGAGGAGGAGGAAGAGAGATGGAAGAAGGTGCCTTCAGAAATTAAAGAGATTTTTACTATGTGGGGTAAGATGGAAAGCTTTATGGAGAAAGATCACCTAACAAGGTTGTTGCAAGCCAGGTTGGCAACATGTACAGTGACAAAGTCTTGGGCCATTTTAGGGAAGTGTTAAAGAGATGCCAGAAACAGAGCTCTCTCCACAGTATTTTGTGAGACAGGACTCCAGTGACTCTCAAGGTGGTCCTAGTGGCATTAAGAAACAGAGAAGAGAAGCAACCCCAGAAAAGCAAATGGTACCTGAGGTGTTGATGGAAGGGGATTCCCCTTCCAAACTATAAACAATCCACTCTCTCTCCTCCTCCAGTCTCCCATACACTAAGAAGAATCTCCAATAAAGGTAAGTGTTATGCTGTTAATGTTTCATTCATCATTTCCCATTGTATTGTTTATGTACTACATGCATATTTCATGTTAAAAATTTTTTGTTTTAATACTTCTGGGTGTCAGGAACGGATTAATTGTATTTACATTATTTCTTATGGGGAAAATTGATTCGTAAATCGTAAATTTCGTTTATAGTAACGGCTCCAGGAACGGATTAATTACGAACAACGAGGGACCACTGTACTTGGGAGTTGAAGTGTCGGCAGATGGATTTATGAAGGATGAGGTTAATCATAGAATTGATGAGAGAAAAAAGGCAAGTGGTGCATTGAGGTATATATGGAGACAAAAAACGTTATCTATGGAGGCAAAGAAGGGAATGTATGAAAGTATAGTAGTACCAACACTCTCATATGGGTGTGAAGCTTGGGTTGTGAATGCAGCAGAGAGGAGGCGGTTGGAGGCAGTGGAGATGTCCTGTCTAAGGGCAATGTGTGGTGTAAATATTATGCAGAAAATTCGGAGTGTGGAAATTAGGAGAAGATGTGGAGTTAAAAGTATTAGTCAGAGAGCTGAAGAGGGATTGTTGAAGTGGTTTGGTCATTTAGAGAGAATGGATCAAAGTAGAATGACATGGAGAGCATTTAAATCTGTAGGGGAAGGAAGGCGGGGTAGGGGTCATCCTCGAAAAGGTTGGAAGGAAGGGGTAAGGGAGGTTTTGTGGGCGAGGGGCTTGGACTTCCAGCAGGCGTGCGTGAGCGTGTTCGATAGGAGTGAATGGAGACGAATGGTATTTGGGACCTGACGATCTGTTGGAATGTGAGCAGGGTAATATTTGGCAAAAGGATTCAGGGAAACTGGTTATTTTTATATAGCTGGACTTGAGTCCTGGAAATGGAAAGTACGATGCCTGTACTCTAAAGGAGGGGTTTGGGATATTGGCAGTTTGGAGGGGTATATTGTGTATCTTTATACGTACTTCTAAACTGTTGTATTCTGGGCACCTCTGCAAAAACAGTGATTGTGTGTGAGGTGAAAGAGTTGAATGACATTCGAAGTATTTTCTTTCTTTTGGGTCACTCTGCCTCGGTGGGAGACGGCAGACTTGTTAAAAAAAAAAAAAAAAAAAAAATTACAACCATGAGGCCTGGTCACAGACCTGGCTGCACGGGCATTGACCCTTGAAACTCTCTCCAGGTTAACCAATATTTCTCATATCACAACCAATATTTAATTTTATTAAAATAAAACAAAGTGTATAACTAAATCAAGTGGCATTTTTTTTTGAGAACTTTTCTCTGCCAAGGATGAGTTGCCTATGAAAGACATAAGTGATTTGCATAATCCAACAAGTGTTTTGACACCACACATGTATGAGTAAGGGACCCATGAGATGTTCTTTCTCTGGATATTTATTGACATGCTAAGTGCTCTACTTTTTTTTTCCAGAATGATTGTGCTGAAGGAATAGCAGCGTTTGTTGAAAAGAGGAAGCCAGTATTTACAGACAGCTGAGATTTATCATTTACTATGTAATGATTAAGAACTTGTCTAACATAGCAAAATATAAGCTGAAAACTGATAATTAGGAAAAAATAAGTTTTATATTTTACTTATGGCTTAGCGCTTCTTTTTTGATTATAATAATATATTTTACTTAGCCTCATATATCAAAAACATTGCTAGAACAAGTGTAGAAGTTTCGGCTAAAACATGTACAGTGGATCCTCAGCTTTCGTGTTTAATCTGTTCCAGAGCCATCGCCCAAAACTGAAACCATTTTCCCCATAAGAAATAATGTAAATGGAATTAATCTGCTCCATACACCCAGAAGTATCAACAAAAAAATTTGTTTTTACATTAAAGATAGTTACATGGACAAAAGAATGAACATTACACATGATGCTTACCTTTATTGAAGGCTGTTGTTGCTGGAAGACATGGAGGAGGGGAGAGGGAAGATAGGTTATTGTTTGGAAGGGGAATCCCCCTCCATAAGGACTCTAGTTACCAAGTCCTTATCTGGGGTCACTTCCCTTCATTTTTTACTGCCACTAGGACCAGCTTCAGAGTCACTGGACCCCTGTTGCACAAAATATCTGTCCAGATAGGTCTGTTTCTGGCATCTCTTAAGATTTGCCTAAAATGGGACATGGCATTGTCATCGTAAAAGTCACCAGCACGGATTGCAACAGCTTTCTCAGGGTGATGTTCCTCCACAAATGAATGCACTTTAGTCCACACTGCGCAAATCTCCTTAATCTTTCAAGACGGCACTTTCTTCCATCTCTCTTCCTCCTCCTCTGAAGTAATTTCCTCAGCTGTGGCTTGTTGCTGTTGCAGATGAAGCTCTTGCAGCTCATCAGTGGTTAGCTCTTCATTGTGGTCCTCCACCAACTCTTCCACATCCAACCCCATGGAATTCCCCAATGCCTCAACTGATTGCACAACAGGTGTAGGGTTGACCGGGTCAGCCTCAAACCCTTCAAAATCCTTCTTTTGGACACAATCTGGCCACAATTTTCTCCAAGCAGGGTTCATTGTCCTGGAAGTCACTCCTTGCCAAGCCTTATCTATAAGGCCTATGCAGTGGAAGATATTGAAGTGATTCTTGCAGAACTCTCTTAGGGTCAATTCAGAGTCCAAGGTTATGTCAAAGCACCTTCGAAACATTGCTTTGGTGTACAGTTTTTTGAAGTTTGCAATGATCTGCTGGTCCATGGGCTGGAGGAGAGGAGTGGTGTTAGGAGGCAAGAACTTCACTGTTACAAAACTGAATTCCTTAGACAAGTGATCTTCTAAGTCTGGAGGATGAGCAGGAGCACTGTCCATTAACAGAAGGCACTGGAGTGGCAATTTATTATCCAGGTGGTATTTCTTCACACTCGGGCCAAACACTTCATTGAACCATTCCGGGAAAATTTCTCTAGTGACCCATGCTCTACTGTTAGCCTCCCACATAACACAATTTACTCTTGACACCACTGTTTTTCTTGAACACACTGGGATTTTCATTGATACACCAGTAAAGGCTTCACTTTGAAATATCCACTAGCATTACCACACAAGAAAGTTAGCCTGTCTTTCATAGGCTTGTGTCCTGGGAGTCCCTTTTCCTCCTGCACAACGTAGGTCCTCTTTGGCACTTTCCTCCAAAACAGGCCTGTTTCATCACAATTGAACACTTGTTGGGGTTGAAATTTTTCGGCCTCTACACAACACGTGAATTCCCGCACAAATTTTTCAGCCGCTTGTTTGTCTGAACTGGCACCCTCGCAGTGCCTTACAACACTGTGTATGCAACTTCGCTTCTTGAATTTTTCAAACCAGCCTTTGCTGGCCCTAAATTCACCTACATCAGCACTTGTTTCAGGCAGTTTCTTTAAGAGGTCATCATATAACAGTCTTGCCTTTTCACAAATAATTGACTGCACAACATCATCTGCTAACTTTCTCTCTGATCCACACCAACAACAATTTCTCCATTTCTTCAATTGTTTGGGATCTTTGTTTGGTTATTGCATTCACCCCTTTCACAACATCAGCTTCCATGATTTCTTTTCTCTATGCCACAATGGAGCGAATTGTTGATGGCGACTTCCCGTACATCCTGCAGAGTTCAGCAATGCGTATGCCACTATCGTATTTTCTTAGGATTTCTTTTTTCAGTTCTACAGTGTTCCTCACTTTCTTTACCAAAGCACTGGCACTAGGAGCTTTCTTTGGGGCCATGGTCGCTTATTTAGTAGTCACACACAATAAACAAGTGGTAAAAACAATGGATTATTACGAAATGTTTTGTATCACCTGGCAGGATTTGTTCACTCACTGAGAAACAACGCTACACTGGCTGAGAATGGCGTGGGAGGCGGCTTTGTCTGCATGCTCGGCACTGGACAGGTTCTGTACGATTGACGAAAACAGAGCCAAAAAATCGACAAAAAAAAGTCGGCCAAAACCAAAATCGGCAATAATCGAGATCGACGAAAATGGAGGGTCCACTGTATAGCAAAAATTCTTTTATTACAGCATTTTGTCTACACAAGGCTTTATCAAATACATGAAAATACAACAGACCACCTTTTGCTCAGGTTACAGGCCTGAAAATGGAGCAGCTACATGTGAAGTTATGATGTGTGCTGGGAAGAGCTTGTGTGAGAAATTGGGTTATATTCCATGATACCTCTAAAAAAGCCATATCTTAAATTTGTTCATCAACTAAATTAAAATTAATTTTACAAAGGTATTGAGGGGGGAGGGACTGCAGTGCTGTATGACCCTGGTGGTTTAGCACTTAAGTTTTGATAATAATAATAATGAGGGGATGACATGTTAGGGGCATGTAAAAAGTATATACAGTACATTATGTAGAGTTAAACTAGGATGATTTAACAT